AGGGGTAACGATTATAAGCTGAAAGAAGGCAGATGGAAGATTCAAAATCGGACAAAAAGAGGTTCCTTGTACCCAAAAAAATAATTACTTAATAGAATTAATTGTGCCTAGATGCTGTACACAACAAATTTTACATAAATTTTTAAAAATGCATTATTTCATGAAAAGTAAACAATCCATGCACAGTTTTTGCATATGAATATACCATTTCTGACTTGGAAAATCCCTGAGCTACAAGTCATTAAAAGCAAGGAGATATGCACTGAGCATTTTGCCATATTCTTACATTCTTTCCCAGGTTATCTGCTAATAGTGCCCCTCCAGACTGCTAAATCATAATTTGTCTGATAAATTTTAAGGTTGGTACCTACAACCCCAAAAGTACCATATATGAGATCTCTAATGTTGAATCAAAAGACTAGATAGAAAAAAAACCTACCCAGTTAATTTTGAGTGTGTATTTCTCTGTTACAAATGTGCACAAACAATATGTTTAACAGTGTTCCTTGGATTACATTAGATATCTCTGAACTGTAATCCTCTACAGCTGTGACGCACATGGGCACACCTCTGTAGGCATCATAATGAATAGCTGCTCAACAGGAAGCTTGCTCTGAAATGTACACCGTCATTTCTGCTGTTTACAACATGAAACCTCCAATATTCTTGTTTCTTTATTTCCCAGCAATAATCTTCAGATTGCAGAAAGGAGAGGTTTTTAAACTGAGATTTACCACTTCAGAGTAGTAAGTACACTTTTGTAAGTATTGCAGAAATCCTTAAGATCCCTGTCTTGCACGAAGCCAGTCTACTAATTTAGTCCTATGATTTAGGAAAGGTCAAGAGGGCAACAGTTGAAAGACTAAGAAATGGAAATTTTTTTTGCCCGGTTGCTTGTTGCTTTGCATTTGTTTATACATCTGCACTGGGATCAGCTTAATTGAAAGAGCCTATACAGAATATTAACCTTTTTCTGAATACTGCCAGTGACATTTGATGTGTAATTTTGTGATGTATGCTCTTCATTATAAACAGCCATTAGCTGTTGAACTTAAAGCACTGTTGTCAGATGTGCTTTTTCTTTTGGGCTCTGATCCTGCAAATGTGCAAATACACAACAAAGAAATCTCATTGGACACAGATGATGAAAAATAATAGTTAGTGATTTAACATTTGTTTGTAGCGTGTCTCTAAAAGGGTTGAATTAATATTTGTAGTGTATGAATTATCTAAGACACTTTCCTGTAACATCAACAAATGAAGTAGCACAGAAGCATCAGAAACTCTGTGAACAGAAAAAATTCCAAACACTGATAAAACAGAACCATATTGCAATCAAAGTTGTATCCTAAATGACCAGCTGTAACAAGTAATGCCATTTGCGCTTGACCTCACTCAGTATCCATTTTACGAGGCAATGTGATCAACAGCCATCACCCAAATTCTTCTTTTCACAGAGAACAAACAATATAGAAAGTAGGCAATGAGGTACACAGGAATAAATTGATGAACAAGAGAGTAATTACTTAAGATTACAGCACAATGTTATTCAAGACTACAAACCAGCTGAGAGGATTATATACACCAGCATGGACTATTACTTCACATTCAACTTTTCTTTACAGAAAACATGCACTCCCTTAGTAACATGCTACTTTGTCTTTACCAATGCACCATTTTTATTACAAGTGTTATTCATCTGACAACACACTGATCAACAGGAAAGATTTACTCTCCTTAGCTGTCAATAAACTAAGGCTTATTAACACTCCCATGGCTCTTCAATCATCGTTTCCAATGACAAGCTGACTATAAAGTTTCACTCTATTATGGAGTAATTCTTCAGGTGTGAACTAAAGGCAGCAATGAGAAATAATTAGTTATATAACATCTTACCAACGTGAGTGTTAGAACTAGTCAAACTGTTTATTGATTTCAGCTTCATCTTGCCTCCTGCTGACTCTAAATATGGACTAAAACAAACAACTGGATCCCAACAGTCTCAGTAGGCAAAGTTTTGGGGGAAAAATCTTACAAAAAGCCTTTACACAACAATAGAAAAAATTTTTTTTTCACTGCAGTTTAGTGTAAGGAAATCCCAGTGAGTAAATTTTAGATGGAGATTGGCATTGCTGATTACAAGTGAACTTCAATCTCCTATTTATGAGCTTCCTGCACATCTCCCATGCAATAGCCAAAGCACTTACTATTGAAGCCTGATTTTCATACTTAAAGCCAAATGTATTACCTTCCTTTCTATCCACTTGTTCTTGAGGAAATTCCTTCATCCTTCCATAAAATGTAATACATAAAGCTGAAGGTGAGAACTAGGGTAGGGGGAGGCTTTCTGAAGGAGTTGGTCACATTCCTTATAGTCATCTGTCCCTTTAGAGGGGCTTCTGAAGAGGCTGAAACTCTTTGTACTGGTGGGACTTACCCAGTGGGCTGTGCTAAGAAGGGCTCCCAGTCAGGACCAGTGGTTTGTACAACACAGACACAGTTTTACAGCCAATATGAGTGCAATGAAACACAGCCAAAGCAGCATATACAGGTGCAGTTTCACTGAAGACACCGGTGAAAGATACTACTTTATGGAAGAAAAAGCCATGCAAAAGCAACAAATTCTAAGAGGTTTCTCAACCCACCACAACTTCTTCACAATCTTTTCTTCCTCATTGAGGTATTTCTGCCTTTCTTGTTCCACTAGGTTGCGCTGTCGCTGCACAGGATCTTCAAGTCTCTTCACTGTTTCAATCATTTTGCCATTGATTTCCAGCTCTGCTTTCTTCACCATGGCCCTCAGCATCTCCTGGTTCTGCAGCTGTTGCACAAAAGAAATCAACTTCAGTTTTTCCTGCTTGACTGACATCCCCAGCAACAGAATACATTGCAGAGCTCAGAAGTAGGTTGGGATAAACACAGCCCTACAGCAAGAGAGAATTTTAACCTTCTTTCCCTCATTAACTTTACCTATAACCATTATTCCATAAGGAAGTGTTGGGGGTGAGAAAAGCCTAAATCTGATTAACTTCTAATGTATATATTTAACTTCCAGTTGCAAGCTGACGAACAAAAGATGTTGGGATCAGTACACCACCTTCAGCGCATAACTTCTACATGGATTGTGGCCCCTTTATTCTGCTCAGTCCAGCATGAATCAAGAATTAATCATGCCTCACAAGAATGCCGGAAGCTTGACTTCCGCTTTGTGCCTAAGTTTATGGATTGCACTGCCCATACATGCCTGGTGGATAATCCCACACATTAATGACAAGGCTGGAACGCACTGTTGTTCTCAGAATGGAATTTTTCAGTCTCTCAAGTGGCAGAAGAAGGATTGTGTCATCTGGTGTAATTCGGTGACAGACATACAGCTCATATGCAGAACAAAAAACCTCCTTCACCCACCAAAAAAAAAAAAAAAATCTCCAAACCCTTAAAAATATGGTAATTTTCTTAGAACTGTAAAATTCATACCTATTTTCTTATCTTAGCCTTATCATACCTTCTTCCTTACCTTAGCCTTATGGTAAGTACCTAAAGCACTGATTTTCCTATGGATATTAAGTTTGCAAAGTAAAACACAGCTAAGAAAGCAAACTAGACTGTACTCTTCTGTGAGTAGCCCTATAGCAGCTGTGCCCCACACTCACACAAACCAAACCTGTTCAAGATTCTTACACAAATCAAAAGATTCAAAGTGATAAGCAGAGCTCCATCCATTCACGCCTTTGGGATACAGGCAACATGAACACAACTCTGTTAGCCTAGCAGCCATCTCATACTGAAATATTTTTAAAAACACCTGTGTCACTTGGGAGATTAAGTTTCAGTCTTAAAACTAGCAACCAAACTTTCAACTGCCTTCTAAACATCTAGGCTTAACAGCCAAACCACATTTAACTTATGAAGTAAACCCACTACCTAATAGGAAGAATCACAAAAATGGATTACTTACAAGGCAATATAAGGCAACAAGACTTCTTTTTAAGTTTATTTAAGAGAATTAATGGGAATCAGAGAAAAAAAAAGGCTTTGCCCAGGTCATTCTTTCCAGTCAGTATGGGAATTAGAGGAACAAACTCAACTCTTCCCTCCTGACTCTTCAGTCCTTTTGCCTGACCCTGCCTTCTCCAGCGACACAACTGTGATGAGAGGGAGGATAACACTTCACTGGAGGTGTGTGGTGGGGTCTGAGCTGTGACAAGCAGGAGGCGTTAGCTCAAAACTCAGCTGAAGATATGTGTTAGCAGTTAGGGAAAAAAATGAAGCTGGAAAACATTTGAAACAGCACAGATTTATGAACATTGTCAGCTGCTTTACACCATACTGGATTCTTTTGAACACCATGCGTATGTGTATTTTTCCCCACTATGGGATTAACGTTTGGGTTTGGTAAACTAAAACCCCTTACAGCAAGGCCAGCGCAGCTATCTGAGACACACATCTCTTCCATTGTGCCATATTTTCATAAATGAATGAATAAATGAATAAATTAGTGAATGAGCATGTAACACTTCAGTCATACAGTTTATTCACAGCTCTTTAAAAAAATGGGGAAATTTGATACAGCGAAGTGACTTTGGAAATGTGAAACAACTGATCCGAGGTCAGTGAGAAGGTCAGTAACAGAGGCAGACTTAAGTCTCAGGTGTCCAGAATTTAAGTCCTCTATGTTCCTCAGCTGGTAACAGTGACTCCCATTAATACCAAAACTGAGTGTGCATGTGTGTGAAGTTGTGCAATGGCAGGTACACTTTTTTTTCTCTTATAGGGATATATAAGGGATCTGTATTTACTGTAGTAACATCTACAGATAAGATTTCTGCAGTGCTTGAACAGTATTAGAAAGTTTCAGTCATAAAAGTTTATCCATTTATGATAGCAAGATTAGGGAATAAAAATATAACTCAGCAATATTTCAAAAAGCTTGTAAGTTGAAGAGTCCCATACCCATACTGAGACTCCCTGGCTAAGTGCACACCCATCTGTCCCTCAGACCACTTCTGCCAGTTACTCCACCACCTCAAGTGGAGGAAGTTTTATGGATCTGCCGGAGTTATTCTGGTTCCACAGGAGAGAACTTTTTGTACTTTAAGTTTGCTTGAAAACAAGCCAAATAAACAATCTTAGACACTCACACTGGAAATGAAAGTTTGTTAAAACAGTGTTCAAGATCCAAAGTCAAGTGCACAAAGGAAAGGAAATGCAATGCAGGCTTTCCTGTCATCACCAAATGGCAATTTCTTGCTGATTAGAATTAACTTGACTTATAACTGCAAAAAGCAATCAAACATCAAGAAATTTAACACCTTTTTTTTTAGAATTCTAGTAACATCTCCTATATTCATTACCCTTGGTGCTCACTCTCAGCCTCTCCAAACTCTCCAGACACCTACCTTGTCCCTCTTTTTTGGCTACTGCTCCAGCTATTATCTATCGCTGCTCTCTCACAAGTACCCCAGCACCGCCTCTGGCACCCACTTAAAGCATAATCTGATCACCAGTTTAGTTCACTTTGAGCTAATTATTATCTGTGAGACAGGCAACTGGAAAACCAAGTATCAGTTCACAGCCCTGCTTCTCATTAGGAGACAAGCATGACTTGTCCCAGGTCCTGCTGAGAGAGGTGTCTGGGCCACCCACTTCCCCACACACTACAGTGCACAGCAACAAACAGGGGCTGATCGCCTGCAGCTCAGAATCTCTGTAGAATCTAATCATCTAATTCCTAAAGTTTGTTACCATACATAGACTAAATGTAGTCTCACCAGTTCTATAATGCAGCTCAAAACACAACTGAATTCAAAGTTACACTTGTGAGATTGAGTATCATACACTATTTATGAAAGTATTCTTATTACATTTTCTATCCTTTCTGCAGCACTCATTTCCCTGCAAATAATACATTGATTGAAGGAAAAGCATGCATGCATACACATTCCTAATGCTGAACCTTAATTATATCTAACTTCTTTCCCTTCAAACGTGTTCACTTAAAGAAAGGAAGGAATAGACAAAAAAAAATTCCACTGTACAAATAAGCTAATGATATATACCATGAACACGTACTCTAAGGCTTAGTTCAGAATTCCCACGAAGAGTTCTCATTATCTGGGAGTGCAGAATGAACAGACCCACTGAACTCATCATGGGCTCCAGCCTTACCAACAACAAACGCATCCAGGACACAGGCTGGGTTATAGCCTATCGCTGGCAATGAGGAAAACTCCATGGCACCATGGAACTACTCTTTTTTGAATAGCTCTGAAAATCAGAATGTTTAAGGAAGATCCTACTGGAGTAGCAAGATCTAACCTCTAGCAACAGCCATGATGCAAATGTCTTTATTTCAAGAATCTCTGGTTAAAATCCAAGCACAGACTGAAACAGTCTTAACTTTTAGTTGCATCTGGTAACATACACATTTAACTGGTGTGTGAATCAATACATCTGGATCAATTGCTGCTGGGTATGTTTTAGAAAGAGAATTTTGCCAGCACAGATGAAGGCTACGTGAATGAACGGGTCTTTTCCATTATGTGTTTCTCCAATTCTACTAAGCAAATAAGTAAGAACTTAAAGTGATATCAATTTCAATTGAACCACAGACAGTACTAAATATAGTTTTATGTTCTGTTCCTTAGCTACCCTACCAACTTTTGTGCCTGTGTAATCACCCTTTTCAGCTTTTTGGAAGTGTTTCTTTTAGTCTGTCACTATATGAAAAATTCACACAAACACGAACAAACTGACTGCCAACCCAGGAGAAACAGTGAAAGTGAAAAATATGAAGTACTGTCAAACATTTCATGCAAACAACCTGGAAAAACAGAGAAATACTTTTCCCTTTTACTTAGAATTATTTAAAAAAAAAACCGTAGCTCTTCAGTTTAAAACACTACCTGCTTCACTTGCCGCTCTACGAACTGGGAACTCTTTCTCAAAATAATTCCACCCATTCAGGAAATCCATGACAAAAACTCACTCTCATTAAAGTAATTCATATATAATATAGCAAAGTTTTTCCTGAGCTACAGGTTCTTCCATTTGACTATCACAAATTTGGTCACTTCCTACTGGCACAATCCACTAAATTTGCTATCATTTCTGAAATAAGGGAAGCCAGCCAGAGTGAATGAGCACACTTGGGATATATCCTTTTTTCTTTCTCAAGACTTCCTTGGCAGCACTGATTTGTGCAGATGGCACAAGTTTCTTCACTCCTGTGTGCCATAATGCTATATCTAATCACAAGCAAGGTTACCACCCCAGGTAGCGCCATGGAGACAAGACGCAACTGGGGAAATGCCACCTCCTCAGTGAGCAGGCCCTGTGAAAATGCTGCACTCCCTCCCTCCAGCACAGCACCACAACCTTCATCCCACTTTATGAGGCCAAGTACTAAGCGCAGCTGGTGGCCAGATCGCAGGCATCTGCCAAGAGCTGCATTTGGCACATGGGGTTACAGAAGGACAGAGGGGCTGCAGTGGTTTGTGGCACAAATATGGAAGAAACACTCTTACACGTAATGTGCTAGGGCAGAGATCCCAAGCCAGAGTCTTGAAATTAGATGGGGACTATGATGGCCAGCACATAAGCACCACTCCTGGGAACAGCTTTTGAAAAATACATTTGCTCTAGGAACATACCCATCCTAAACTGAAAATGTAAATACATGGGTGGTATATCACAGGCAGAGGTCACCTGGCTGACAGAACTGTTTGCTCCAAATACTGTCTGCCATCTCTTAATTACCAGCAAACTGAGTACAGGACTTTGTCACAGCATCTTCAGTCTTCAACATGTTTTCTTTACCCTGATGTTTACCTCACCCTTCTGCTCCCTTGCCCTATCACTGGTTCATAATTCAATTTCCTTTAGTTGAGGAGGTGAACGCAAAATGTGCCCTGAAGTCTGATCCGTATTATCATCACTCCATTCTAAAATTAACCAGCAAATCAAAGGGGATTGACACAGTACCGTTCCCATATTCAAAACCACCCTGGTCACAATAGCAGTAGCTACAGCCCTACAATACCAAACATGTGATGCCCCTTTCCAGGCAAGAAGGACTGGCAGAGTATTGAAGTTTCTCCCGCTGTGCACTTTGTCTTACAAGAAATCACTTTACCTCCTTTTACATCTTCTGAGACAATGCACAGTGCTCTTCAGTTTCCAATTAAGTGAAGCGTTGAAGATCCCTACAGCTGCATACGCTTATTTTCACAGTGTCTGAGATGAACAGCATATATTTACATTTGCAGCATGATGGTATGTGTCAACAGAATATTTTGGTTAACTCTTCATTGGTCTTACTGTTTCTAGCAGGTTTTGAAGTGTTGACGTGTGCTAGGAAGGTACTGGCAAAATGTGAATGTAAGTAGGGCACAACAAACCTTTGCAGAAATTTCTGAAATATCTTATTTCTGTGCTGCTCAAGTTGGCTATTCTTCTGGATTCTGTAAATATAGGACTCAGACTCTATCTTAATGTGTATCTACTGATCCTCAGCTACATTTGAGTTTCCTGACATCAAAGTTGTTTATTCAGGAACTTAAAAACTTTCTCAACTGTAAATAGTACAGAGGAGGAACATGACTCTTCCGACATGTTTATAAAGCACATAGCATAGCAGGGTCCAAACTGTAATCACAGACTTGATATTATTGTAATACAAGCACTGCTTTAATATCTAGAGTCATCAAACAAAGCTAGAAATGAAGTTTTTTCTCAACAGCAGTAGTTAAACTGAGCTAATCATCACACCTCTAGGACTATGCAAGTGGTGTATGCTAAAGCAGAATACACTTTCGTGCCTTTAATACCTGGGTCTTCCTTTTGGTAGAACTTTGCTACTGGGAATCACTCACATACAACAGGTAAAAGAGAAAGAAAGAAAGAGAGAGAGAAAGAGAAAAAAGAGAGAAAGAGAGAGAAAAAGAAAGAGATAGAGAAAAAAGAGAGAGAGAAAAAGAGAGAAAGAGAGAAAGAGAGACAAAGAGAGAACAAGAGAGAGAAAAAGAAAGACAAAGAGGAAGGAGGCAAGGAAGGGAAGGAGGGAGGGAGGGAGGAAGGAAAGAAAGAAAGAAAAAGGCATTTGCTGACAATCTACTTTCCCAGCATTACCCAGATAAGCATACCTGTAGCTGCTTCATCTGATGCAGCTGCAGCCGCAGATCTGACACGTTGCGTTTCACACCATGCAGGCTGACTTGCATTGATGGGGCTCCAGCTGGGTGATGGATGACAGCTGACTCCACAGTTGCCAATGTGTTCTTCCCTCCAGATATGTTAGCAACGCCTGCAATAAGCAGCAGCATGGGTTGAGCTGACCAAGATCCTTCCACTGCCCACTGAATCCATACGTATTTCACACAGATGGACAAGAAAATTACAGCTGCCAATGCTCAGTAGCAACAGGAGACTGGCACCTCCTTATCCAATATATTTTAAGGAAAGACTGTACAATATCAGAGTGTATCTTGCTGGAACCTCAGCCATATCAGAGCACTGAATTACCACAAGACTGCTTCCTATCACATGTAGTGCAGACAGGATAATAAGCTATAACTCCAGATTACACAAAACAGCAGCAAATCAAATTGGTGCTGAAAGTAGCTTTGGGATTGTCCTCCAGGAGCCATGTGAGACCGAGTTTGACGCAAATTCACAGGAACTGCATATTTGTTGATTAATTATCACTGGAGAGAGATTCAGTCAAACCGCCAAGTTTGGGGAAAAGGTTTCTGTAGAGAATCTTGCTTTGTTGCTTAAAGTACAATTGTATTATTTCTATCAGATGTCTCCAACAGGTACTGTATAAACCCGGGAGAACAGAAATGGAATGGTGGTGTGTCAGAGAACTACTCTCCAGTCACATTGCATCCACCCACTCCCCTTTACTCTGTCCTTTACTCAGGACTGTGTTCACAAGGGAATACAAGGTAACACAAGGAAGTAAGCTGAGCCACACTCTGATAATAACTGTCACTGTTCTCACAAGTCTTTCTTCATTAAATAATGGTGTTCTTCTACACAGCATCAATGTCAAGCTTGTTCCTTCCAGTCTCAAGTACCTGGGAAGAAGCTTTATTTACAGGACACAAACAGTCCAGCTCATCAGCTAATGCTCACGTTACAGCTTCTTCTAGCAACTTGCACTTACACACCCATATTTTTCAAATTTTCTATTGTCCCCTCCCCTCCCCACTGCCAAGAGGCAAAAATGACAGACTGTCAGTAGGACACACACACATTTTTTAAGTCCAGCACTATGTCGCCCTGCATAATCTCCTGATTACAGTGCCAGATACACCTTGTCCCTCGGGCTGAGATGGTTGCTGCTCCCTGAACTATTGCATTATCAGTCCCTCGCTACAAGAAAGACATTGAGGTGCTGGAGTGTGTCCAAGGAAGAGCAACAAAGCTGGTGAAGGGTCTAGAGAACAAGCCTTATGAGGAGCGCCTGAGGGTACTGGGGTTGTTTAGTCTGAAGAAAAGAAGGCTCAGGGGAGACTTTATCGCTCTCTACAACTACCTGAAAGGAGGTTGTAGCGAGGTGGATGTTGGTCTCTTCTCCCAAGTAACAAGTGATAGGAGGAGAGGAAATGGTTTAGATTGGATATTAGGAAAAATTTCTTCACCGAAAGGGTTATCAAGCACTGGAACAGGCTGCCCAGGGAAGTGGTTGAGTGACCATCCCTGGAGGTAACTGAAAGACGTGTTGACATTGTTCCTTGGGACATGGTTTAGCGGTGGACTTGACAGTGTTAGGTTAACAGTTGGACTTGATGATCCTAAAGGTCTTTTCCAACCTAAAAGATTCTGTAGTTCTATTCTATGATTATGTCATTTTTCCATGAATAAAACAAAACATCTGAGGAAACAGAAAACAACTAATCAATGGATCTGCACAGGGATTTTGGTCATCATTTGTTCCCACAAGCACACATTCTATCAAGTTCAATGAAATCAAACAGAAACTAGTGTTGCAAGCTTTTCTTTGCCTGTTGAAGGCAAATTTTCAGTGCACCAAAGGGCATGACAGATTTTTCTGGCTGAAATGAATATGAACCCACAAGTGGTTAAGTTTTATTCCAGCCCTCTGATCCCTAGTAGTGTTTTCAACCAGTAAAATTTCCAAATGTGCCCAAGTGAGTACAGTTCAGCATAACAACACATTGTTACTCCTTTGCCAACAGGTGCGGATACCTCAAATGTAGCCTTTGCAAAATTAATCTGGGGGAAGCATTTTTAAAGGATGGAAGTTATGCCAGACTGTTTTTATTTAAAAAATAGCCTAAAAGGTTTCTGATGAATCCTGTTTCTTGTTTTATCTACATTTGCAATTCCTGTCAGCAAAAGTACAGGTCCCTCTGGCTGCACCCATGCTATATATGGTGTGCCATGCCACAGGTTCCAGAGACATGCTCAAACAAAAAGCAGTTTTGGCCCAGTGCTGGCCGTTGTAATGCTATACCTTACCTAAATGTGCTCCAGCTAGATCCACTCAGGGCTTCAACAATGGCACTTTTCATCTCACTGCTGAGCAAGCTGATGCACATTTTTGCTATACTCCAGCATGATTCAATGCTCTCTTGACTTTCAAAGAGCTGCTTAACAGAAACCAACACTCAAGAAATACACTGTCCTTGTTCACTGCCATTCTGTATCCACTCCATGCTTCAGTCTAAAATATGCTAGTACTTATCTGTCTACACGTACACTGTAGTTTTTCCTACAGTCAAGCATCTATTTCCCTCCCACGTGCATTATTTTCTACATTTTTTTAAAGAAAAGGGTATTTAGCTCATAAACCCTACAGACAGAAACCACCAGAGAGTCTGAAAAATGTGGGTAAGACTCCAAGAGTTCTGATCCCTAGCCACAAATCTGGACTATTTTTGATAGCATATCTACCTTTCTGCTATTCTTTGTCTCAAGCAAAAGCTCCAAAACCTCAGCCCCCAACCCTGTGATGATGCAGCCAAGGCATGAATCAGTCCCCACCAGCGTCTCTCCCCATGCTGGACCCCAGTCAATTCACATATTTTCTCAGGAAGTGGTCCCTGCTTTCCTTTCAGTGTAGATGGACTGTTATCTGCTTCTGTAAACTATAAATGTCTCTGACTCCCTACAAAGCAGATCTCCTCCTCCTCTGCTGCCTCAGCCACCTCTTCTCCGCGTTGGTACTCCCAGCTGCCACCGTGCCCCTGCTGCAGAGCGTGCTCAGAGCCTGTGAAGCACGATGTGGGAGTCTCCAGGGTATAAATCACAACCACAGACACCAAGTGAGCTTGGGAGCGCAGTAAGGATCAGCAGATGATTTCTCAGAGATACATATTTTCATCAAAAAAAAAAAAAAAAGTGGCAGCTGAAAGAGGGGCTGCTTCATTTAGGGAGTATAGCTCGCTTTTGGTAATAGTCCCAGGCTGTAAATTTGCGATTAGATGTGTGGCCAGATGGACTGAGGGCAAAGAAACAGCATTGGCTCTCAGGTTTTTAAATAGACCTTTGCTGGAGCTGGGTAAGGAGGCCTGGATGCAAAAACCCTCCATAATTCCCTAATACTTTGGACAAAACCCAAATGTTAACTTTTTTTTACAAAGGCTAATGCCATTTTTTAAAGTACAAAGAGAACTTATGTGCAGAAAGGGGAAAGGTTTGTTATTTTCCCAGGCTCAGGAAGGTAAGGAACACAACTTCCACTCCCTGACGCTTGACCTTTGCTCTTGTTGCAAAGACAGTGCTCTCTTTCTGTTTTCCAGATTTTATTTTTCTTTCTAAAATGCTAAAACTTTGTTTTGAAGCAGGCTATAAAAAAAGGACATCAGACAACACCCAGCAATGTTTCTTCACAAATTACTCATCTCCTTATTATAGAGCTACAATATTTTCAAGCATCATTTGGGGAGACACGTGACAGTTACTTAGTTCTCTTTCCATCCAGTTAGAATCCACTCAACAAACAGGCAAATGGAATGTTAAGGTTGCAATTTCATCTTTAGCAAGCTGTTATGGCCAGGCACTAAAGCACACTTAAAAGAATAAAATATTCTATATATATTCATTTAATTGATCCAGAATGAATTCAGGATCATGTTTCACCTGCAAATGCTAACACAGTTCAAAGACTGGCATGATCAGCCTTTGACTCTGAGATAAGCAAGAAGATATGGACAATGTTTTTAATTTACAATTATCACAGCAAGAGTCATGCATGTGAAAAAGGCACAAAGAGATGCACAGATGACAAGATATTTCACTAAGAGTGAGGAATCAAATCCGAGCCCTACATGTGTAACACTTCTCCCTACTGCCATCTCCCTCTCTTGATGTACTCCTTGATCCCTTTTCAGGAAATACTGAAACACCCTTCTTCCTCTTCCAATAGGACAGCAACTAGCAAAGAACTATTGCTTTTTTTTGGTAATCCATGATACAACTGATTGCAATTTAGTCAATGAGTCCAGGATTTAATCTATCAATCTCACCACTTGATGAACAAAAATATGACAGAAAAGAGAGTAGGTGAGCATTTCTCAGCATATTTGTTAGTAATCCCAAGGACACTCTTCCTAGTATGGTTTGTTTTTAGAGTCACATGCTATTTCTAAGTGCAGACTCCCTTGATGCCATTCACTTTTGATGAACTGAAGGTTATAACGCTTCAGTCATGAGATTTCTCCTAACATACATAGAAGAGACATAGCCAGATTGTGGAAGGTTACTGCTCTTTGAACCCACTCCCCGCGAAAGAACTGAGCCTAAAGCAATAAAACGTAAGAAATACAGACAAGCATGATTGTTACAGGCTCATTTGCCCCAGTGAAAAAGACTTTTTATTTAGGCTCTTTAATATTTGAGGCTAGAGAATCCACCACAGACTGGGAAAGCAAAAACATGTTAAATACAACCATTTGGTTTATATGAAATATCAAACATAGTATTCACAATCTATCTATACAGAGTTATCTAGGATTCCGAAAATTTGGTTTCTTTCTCTTCCCAAGTGAGCTAGTTCTCTATTTTTTGCATGAAAGTCTCCTATCATTGGAACTCATAGTATGAAATACAATGTTGGTTCAACATTTATGAGACAATTTTATCCTGCACAGATGTTTTATTGTTCAGGATGGGAAGCAATTCACGTTTTTGCTTACCAGTGCTCTAGAAAGTACTGCTCAATCAACATTTTACACCACTTTCACTTTCAAATAGACTTTGAAATTGCTAAAACTGGTATCTCAGTGCACAGTTGTCAAGTGGAATTGTATACTAGGAGAATCAACCGTCTAAATGGCTATACTTAATAAGGATTTGGGTGAACTGAAGAACAAAACAGCAGCCAGAAAAAGTGTTTCTAGATGCTGCTGGCATGTTTAAACCCAAGCATAACTACAAAAAGGAGAAACATTCTGTAGCATATTCTGTCAGATTGCCTAATTTTCAAGTAAGCAGGGACTGCATTGACTTATTAGACCTTGTCACATGCAATTTCAAAAGCAGGTGTAAAAGTAAAATATTCCACTACTATACAGCAGTCTTCAATAATAGCTGATGTGGATTACAATACTGTAATATATTGGGGTCAGCATCACCCCTTGTTTCCCTTCCCTGCTACAGTTTAATTTTGTGTCTGAGTCATGCTGGAAAGACAGGATTTAGGGATGCAGATGCTGGAGTTAAAACTATACTTCATAGCACTGATAGGGATCCTTGCAGATGGCTGGCTGCATGGCTGGTCCCACTGCCCTATCCCTGCCTCCCAAGTGATCAGAAAGGCATCTATTGCACAACCTGAATGCTGGTATCCTTACTCAGATGCTCGATATGGGCATGGCTGTGTGACAAAGTCAATGTTTCTGTCAGTATGTGACAGATGCTGATATGGTCTTTTGACAGTAAATTACACACTCCTCCCCCATGCTTGGACATGCAGCTGTTATATGTAATTTTGACATTTCAGGGACATGAGTTCAGTCATACGACAACATAGTGAGGAGTCTTTGGGAAGAACAGTGGCAGGAGACAGCCGCTGGTCAGATGAACCATGCTACTCTGGTGGGCTGGGCATGACTTCCACACCAAGGAATCCCTGCCTTTGCTTTGTGTAGGGCTGTTTTCCCAATGAACATTATTTAATTTCTCATTTCATTGAGAGTATATTCACACACACACACTCCCTAAATAATTTAGGTTGAAAAGGACTTCTGGAGGTCATCTGCTCCAAACTGCCACTCAAAGCAGGGCCCACTTAGATCAGGATCTCCAAGCCAGTTCCTTCCCCCCCGCAAGGTACTTATCTGAATTAGTACAAACACAGGGGAAGTGGAAAGGCCAAACAGCAATACAATACAAAGAGGAAAACAAGGCAACGTGTGTGCAGATTTTGATGGTTTCATAGGTGCTTTGTATGAGACGAGGCCTGTGCAAGTGGGAAATACCATGAATTCTCAGTGTATAATGACACTGAAACAAGGAAAAGCCTGAGCGTTTTGCAGCTGTTTTGAAAAATTATGGATTTTTCAGTAAGTTGTATGAAACTGATAAATTACAACTTATTTCTTCACACCCTGAAGTATTGCTCTTCTCATCCAGGGGCCAGCGGGAAGGGCAGGGGTGGAAGGGGACCAGAGAGTGGCTTGGGAGCAAAGCTCCAGCACCAGGACTTTAGCTCACTTGTTCCTGCATATGCTTCACTGTTTCCAGGTCTGATTTGATTTCTGTTGGTTAGGAGGACATACTGTAATTCCAGATAAACAGGAATCCTGAACTTGAACTAACAGCTCCAACGGAAAGGTTAGTTAAGAGCATAATAGATTTGCTAATAAATGTGTGTGGTTTACTACCTGCCGGAACATAGACCTCCCTGTGGGAACAGCATTACCAGGAAGTAGGGAACTGCCTTTATTTGCATTCAGTGCATGACAAAGGGTGAAGAGGAGGCATATAAACACTCACACACCCTGCAGACATCTCCAGCAGCAGCCCTTACACAAAGAGCTCCACTCAAATGGAGATCGTCTTTCACATCAGCCTTAACTCCATCTTTTAAACACTTAGCAGCTCTCCAAGTGGGAAGCTAAAATAAAACCAGCTCTTATTGACTTCATAATTGATGCTTGCTCAGAACAGTTTAGGCGCAGGCTAATAATTAGTAACAGATCAATATGGCTTAATTAGGGAAAGTGCTATCTTGCTGACTGCTAAATTCCTTAGTGTCATTATATCCACAGCATCCTACTGACAGAAGAACCTTAGAGAAAACTTCAGATGACCAGAACAGGAATGAAATATTTAGGCTTCGACAGCAATTTGGATACATCTGGGGTTAATGACAGATATATACTATAGATGGGATGAGTCACTGGAAAATTCACCTTATGCAGAGACTCTGCATCTCATTTAAACCATTCAGCACAGGTGTGAAATTCATTCCAAAGACCACCTCAATCTGTCAGAAATTCCTCTCTTAACAAAGATGTGATCAGCTCCCATATCCTGAACTTAAACTTCAGCTCTGACAGTACAGCTATGGGACTTTAAGTAAATTTGACATTTGCAAATGGTAGTAATGTTAGAGCTATTCATACATCTGAATAATTTGTAAATTGAAAGTGGATTATCTTACCTGCAGTGTCAATGCTGCTCTTGCTGGACACGATTTTCAACATCATCTTCTCACTAAGTAATAGAAAGAGAAATTATAATTTTAATTTACTAAGAAAAAAACTGTAGTGATTTTATAATCAGCAAATTAAATGGCCTTGTCTGGCATTTATATTTTTAATTTAAATCACCAGTAGCTTGTCAGTTGTTTTTTTTTTTTTAAATCAGCTTTTAATACAAGTTAAGCAAGGAATGGAGTATAAGCAGTAGAAAGCACAGAGATGTAGCTACATTAATTCTTTTTAACACAAAGAAGAGTAATGCAGTTAATCTCCATCTATCATTTGGCATATTCTTCCTCTCTGCCTAGCATTCTCATGGGGATGATAAAGACATTTAAAAATGATTGAGCATTCAGGGTTTTTTTACTATTACATTCAAATATTATTTTTGATGATTGATTACTAAAATCATTACAGAGAAACAGATTTAATGAATTCTTTTTTTACCTAGAAGCATCTTTGCTATTACTTGTATTTGGCCCTTTAAAAAGCGCAGACTGAACAAGACCAGTTAAACTGGCAATCTGTTTCTCCATGGCTTGTATCCTTTCTCTGTAAGACAAGAGAACCGTTTGTTAAAGCCAGATATATTTGCTTTCAGACTTGTTTTTCTAGGTGAATGATTACCACAGGACTGGAAAGACACTACAAAGTTTGTGCAAAGGCTCACGGGTACTAGTTTGCATATACCTTGTTGCAGCAGCTTACCGCATCTTGGTTTGGACAGCTTTTGCATGGTAACAAGACAATAAAAAAGACATCTGCTTAGTTAAAAACAAAACAAGACAAACCAAACAACCACCCAGATAATAAACTTCTACTGATCTCATGGGACAGGCACCTTAAACAATCAGTTAATGCCTCTTGGAACTAGTGAAAATAATTTTTCCAGCATTACATATATTTTCTCTTTTACCTACACTGAGACAATAGTTTTGCCTGTATATAAGGTTTCAGGATTAAAGATTACACATCTTCTTGTTACTATTTTTACTTCTCCCAAACCCAGGATTTTTACCTGTGAAGCATTTAATGTGCCCAAGCTCACCACTTCCCAGCCCAAATCCTTTGCACCTGACATTGCAACTCTCTGCTTTGGAAAGGGCAGCAATGTGTCAGATAGGCACAGGACACCAAACGCAGACTGTACAGCAACATATTATCACAAAACAGATTTGCTTTCATGCACAAACTCCTAAAAAGCAGAAGAAAAGAGATGAAGAAGAACCGCTGTAGGTATGGTCAATGTATTCCATAGATACCAAAGGCCACTAAACAACAACAAGGACTCGGATATAGGAAGGCCAACATTTGTGCGTTTATCTGTTCACATAAATGCATATATTAGTGAGGTACCAGGTGACTTCCTCAGTGGGCTGCAAAATAGCCTTTTGCTCACACACATGCCTACTTTCACACGTCAGTATGTCAATAACACACCACAACACAGACACACATCAATCTGGGACCCCAGACAGGACCTTCTGAAAATGTCTCCCTATATGCCAGCAGCTAAGTGACTGGGGAGACACACAAAAGCAAATGCTAACAGTGGGCTGTGATTCTGGAAGATGATCAGGAACAAAACTTCTCAAAAAGCAGGTGACTAAGACCAGCAGCAATGACTGACGAAAGAAGATGGGATAGACACACACAGCCCCAGACTCAGGTTACTGCAGGGGTTATCCATCACCGCTGCAGCGTCCTGGGCATGTGGGAGCAGCTGAGTTCTGGCCACTCCCAGCTCCAGTTGCCATTTGGTGGTTAAAGCAATAATGGCAATCAATAGGGGCCATATAAACTAAAAAGTAGGCACCAACACCAGGCAAAAGCAAGCCGACATGATAAAAAGGAAGTAACTAGCCCAGCTTGTAGACAGCCAGATTATACAGGCTAATTATTTCACTCACATTCAGGGAATGAAATAGAGGTTTGCTGGGATAGCGCACAGATACTATAGCCAGGAGAGACTCTGAGACATCCAGACATTGAGAAAACACGGCAGCAAAACAAGTAATGAGATGCTAACAGACACTAGGAGGGAAGAAGAGGGTGATCAGTCAGTCCCCAGCCAGCAGATGTGTTCTTACTGCTGTTTCATACAGCGTGCGCATCTTACTTTTCTGTCTTCCTGTTGAAAGGTATTTTGAATGGTGATGAGAAGACTAGCGAATCTGACCTAATTCATTTCAAACCAAGAAATATGTTACAGAATTTCCACTATTATAAGTTTTAAAATAAGAAACTGGTTCAGGCTACAGTAACCTTTGGAACAAAAACAAGTACTAAAAGCCTGGGATAGATATATTCTAACAAAATTTAATGCAGCATTTTTGACACTTAATAATGAAAACATTTTTTTTTTCCCAGATAATCATCACAAAACCTCCTGGAGCTAAACTCCATTGGAAGTCTATCTGTTTTACCAATTCATAAATATGATGTTTTTTCCATCCCACATTTGATAATCTGGAAACAATTTTCTGCTTCAAAAGAGATTATGGCAACACAAAGCTGATCTTGTCCTTTGCCATGAAATCTAGGAAAATATGTTGTTAAGAGGGAGAGGGATGTTCCAGAGATAGGAGATGATGAAAAACGAATGAAATACTGGAATCAATTGCACAGAGCACATTATTTTTCATATGGTAAAAGCATTAAGAATGTGAAGAATCCACATGTGCTCTGGAGTTACTCTGTTAAAGACAAAGCAGGATTTTTCCTGTAATCATTTCACTGTAATACCCAGACTCGTTATGGCCATCAGCACCAAACATTTCAAAAACAGGTGTCTGAAAGGAGGCACCTTTTAGGCATTAAATTAAACGACCTGATTTTCGGAGACCTGGCGGCCTGACTGAAGGCGGTGGGAGGCAGCGTGCTCCAGTACGGGCAGGGAGGGGCGCAGCTGGCCCAGCAGCAGGGCCATGCCCTGGGCTGACGTGGCTGGAGGGCTGGTGGCCCAGTCCTGCCACCCGCTGCACAGTCCTGGGGGAGCAGGGACAGGCTCCACAGCCGCCCTCTTCCTCTCCAGCTTCCCTGTGAAGGGCTGGAGCAACCTTGGCTCTGGAGGGAGAAAATGAACGCTTTCTTTAGCCTGTGCCAGGCTGGGGTCTGTCAGGGATGCCAGCACTGTCATGACAGTTGTACATTTTTGGTTCTCAGCATTATATTCTCTACCACTCGCTGTGCTCCACACTGTGGAGAGAGAAGGCGGGGGGGAGCAGCCTGCCCCACCATCCCTTCCTGCACAAGGCAGGCCGGGGTCCCACGGGTGGGGCAGGATGGTACTCTAGTGACATGGGGCAGGCCAGGGTTCCCAGGGCATGGGACAGGCCGGCACTCTGGTGACACGGGGCAGGCTGCGGCTGCCGTGGACAGGGCAGGGTGGGATGCGGAGCAGTAGGAGAGAGGGTCAGGCAGAACCACATGCAGCAATGCCTCTTTGCTGGTGGTGATAGCACAAGGACAAACCCTGGCTCTGTTCCCAGATCAATTTCCCAGATAAATCTGCAACTCTCCACCACCCAGGAAGAGCAGGGAGGGTCCCTTTTACAGCAGTTGTGAAAGAAGTGGCTGTTTTATCAGCCTGAGTGCAGAAAGGCACTGTTCTGCATTGTTTTCCTGTGAATGCTGGGAGAGTCAGAGGTGGTACGGCGGTGGGGAGGAAAGGAGGGGACAAGGTCAGAAGCGACTCCCAGCTCTAACAGATCTCTCTGTCAGACTTGGGTTTGGCTTGTCACAGAGCTTGGTCAGCAAAGAGGCACAGGCCGCTCACCAGCCCTGCTCTCCTTGGCAGCCTGGTCCACAGCCCCAGCCCCGGGTACATCCAGGCACTGGGGCCCTGCCTTAGCATCTCGCTCCCCCAATTCAGCAGAGGCAAAACAAGCCCTTGCTCCTCTGCGGACTGTGCACTGAGACATCAGAATTCATCACCAGATTTCTTCCTTACAGCTTCACTGAGGTTTCATGTCATTCCTTCTACTGCAATTAACTGGAAGTGATCCCGAGCAGGGTACAGCATATTGTTGAATTGGTACCCACTTCTCACAGTGATGCTTTCTAAGCATGACTTGCATATTCCTTCCCCTTCCTGGGGACATCTTTAATATTCACATCACTGAGAAGATGCTTCACACAGACACAAACTAGAACTAGGCTGTATAACTGTTCATTCATGTGCTTGTCGGACCCTAGGCTATGCAGTGCATCATCCATAACAGACGTACTCAAATACCAAGTCTGACACCACAAACTAATTTTCACACTATCTTGGAGAAAGATTTTTAGTGACTTCATATTTTATAGTTAAACCCGAGTGAAGTCTGTAATCAAAAAGAGGGTCAGAGACAAGGAAAAACACATTTCTTTCTACGTTACCCTATGAGTGAAACATTTCATTAGAAATGTTTTTTCTCACTGGAAAAAAAAAAAAGAAAAAAAGGAAACAGGAGTAGGTTGTCTTTCCCAAGGGCTTCCCTAGCACCAAGTGAAAGTGGCACAGTCAGACTCTACCCCAAACTCCCCCCATAACAGCAGAGTGGATCTCCTGGAAGGGTGTGAAGCAAAGAATAGCAGAGCTCTTCCGTACTCTGCTCTCCTCCCAAGGGAAAGATACACACAGGCAAATATTTCAGTCTTCTAAGAATAAGGTTAAATTCAAACTTTCTATAGCTTTGAAGCTAAAGTGAAAAGGGAAGGTCTGAAGCATTGCCAGCTGTGATACGATTTGAAAACTCATATCCAAGAGACTGCATCGCATCTTCCTACAAACAGTTCCTCCAACAGAAGGAAGCTGAAGTACAGTTTACCTTCCCTCCAACCTGTGTTAGTCATCTGCAATCATCTTTTTCTGCCTGGTTATTCAGTATCTTTCACAAAGGAGGATGCAATTCTGGCCTTCTGGAAAGTGTTTGAGGGGGTATTTCTGCAAAGTCCACCCTTCTCATACAATTCTCATGCATTGCTGATGGAGTCTCCCACTGTCCATGGCTTTACAGAGTATGACCATTCTTTCCTAATGCATAGAGAATCCAGACATATTTTTACGTATCAAACAATAAAGTGCTTTTGTGATGTGAACAATAGCCAATAACCTACATGAAGCTGTTATACTTTCGTCTCTAACTGCATGCCACAAGTGGCGAACATGATCACAGTTCTTGCTCAGTGAGCCACGTTCTACCATCAACTTTTCTCACTAACCCATGGCAAAAAAGAAGAGGACAAAAGTTGTGTTGAGGCAGAAGAGAATCACAGTACACTCCTGAAATGCTTTTGTTTTATAGAGCTGTCTTGCTATTTTATGAACTGTATTTTAGTGAGTAGCAGCATTTATTATTTACAAATTCAGCACTATCAAATAACCTAGAATTTTGCAACACAACTTGTGTTTTAAATGCAAAGAATGTAAGTTAGACGGCAATTAATTTAATGCATTTTTTGGTAAACAGCTTCTTTTCCAATTTATCAACACTTAAACATCTGCTTTGCCTGTAGTAACTTCCAGAACCGTGCACCATAAGCTACATAAATGGGCCATCCAAAAATATGATAGCAAAAAACTGTTTAAAAGACTCATGCTCACTCACAAAAATTTACCCATTTTTCCTGTAAACCTCAGTTTAAGGGATGATGACCCATTGAAGATGAGCTGCTGCAACCTGTTACAACTTCTAATATTTATGTGCATATGAATACTAACATATTTTATCTTTTTAAATCTCCATGAACTTGTTTCTTTTTGCTGTTTTAAAAGAGCTTTGTATTGAACTCTTCTGGTAAATTAATTACTGTGGGAATTTATTGAGTGCTTTATACCATAGCAGCAGCCACCTTGAAAAAACCTGAGGTAAACCATATACAAGAAAGCATTAAGTGAAGCAAGTAAATCCCCCTCAACCTTGCCTTAAATAACAGGTTTAATGTGACTGGCTTCTGCAATGCAAAACTAAAATGGGAAACTCCAAAAGAAGAGATTGGAAATACTGGTTTTCGTCTTTTGTAGACCAAAATCTGCTGCAGTTAACATTCCAAAGTTATTGGACCTATTTTCTTCAACAAAACTAGGATACGGTCAGTGAGAGGTCTGATCTTCTGTAAGTACCCAACATACTCTGGTACAGTACATATATATATATATATACCCCTTCAGCCCTGGACTGGAAAAATTGAAGAATTAACAGGGGAAGAGATATTCAGTTTAACCTCTGGCATTGCCACCATAAATTTTAATCTTTTCTCTGACTTGCACTTAAACTATGCATTGTCCTGAGGTTGTGACAGTGCTACTTCAAGGTAATTTCCAGAAAGAGATGGCACAAGAGAGGTTTCCTTTGTTCTCAGAACACTTCACTAGGGACTGAAGGAACAACAGCGCTGAGATGATGGGTTTGATGCTTGCAGGGTCCTCAACCCACTCCTGAATGAGTCAGGATAAGGAGTCTCTCTTGTCACAGTGCACAAATGCAAAGGACCTCCCTCCTCAGTATCTCCATGGCTAACAGGTACTCAATCTGCCCTTTCGCTGCTACCCCACACCTGACAGTGTCTGCACGCAGGCTGATTGAACACACCACCATTCCCTTCCTGTGTCCTGGCTTTTAGGTTCTTTGTATAGCCATCAGCAAGTGGATAATGTTCACAACAGAGCAGCATACACCTCATTTTTTACCACGCCTGGAAGAGGATGAATTCTGCCCCATCTCTCCAATCCCAAAATATTCTTACTCACAGAAGCAAGCCTAGCTGTAATGCTTATGGGTAAGTTCTACACAAGAAAGTACAGAATACTTTTCTGACATTATATATGTCACCTTTCAGGAGTTCATCTCAACCTCATAACAATTCAGCCCCTGCTGAAGCAGGAAAAGAGTACCTCAACCTGGATATCCTTAGTGTTCCTTGTTTAGTTTAGTACAATCTCAACAGTATTTGCTTTCAAGGTTTATGAAAGTATTACAAAGCTAAAATATGTCTTAGAGCATTTTGTATCTGTAGAAATTAAACTCAATTCTTAATATTGCAGTGGTCAGAAAACACACCAATTTGCATGAATTGCTTTTGGTATTGACAATTATTTTTTAAAAAGTCACACTTTCTCAAGGTTAAAAACCCCCACAACTAATAAGGGCAGCTTTCAAAATGATTTTTCAGTGCCATGTGGCTAATACACACCATGCTGAATTTTAAGGTCATGTATTTATTTGGAAGCATAATTATGCAAATGCTATTTTCATCACTGTAAATATATTCTGCGACGAGGACTAAAACTCCTGGTGCAAAGGTCCCCTTAAGGAGCTGCAGAACTATCTGTGCAGTTGCTTTTTATATATTCACAAATACACAGCCTTGCGCGGGTCTGTGTAGCTGAACGAACAGATGAGGTGCCCAGAGAGGACAGAGAAAGTCACACAGGCTGGGAAGTCATTGGTGTCCTCCCTTATTTTCAACCCCCACAACATGGACCTTGTAAAATTTTTGATCTGAAAGCTATCTCTTGGATCAGAATTGGTAAATATAGTTCAAATTATTTCCTAGTTGTAATAATGGAAGCTTGAAATGAAATTTCAGGTACTTGCATCTTTTCCTTGGAAATAAATAGATACAAATCAGGTTTTGCTGACCCTAGATTGTAATATGCCCTAACTCATACCGTTGTGTCAACATAACTACCAAGCTATAAGCCTGTAAGTTTTGTGGATGGCTGATTTTCTTCCATCTTCCATTTTCTCCCCACCAATGGACCTCACAACACATTCTTTTTTCTGGACAAGCAGAAAATGGTCATAGGAAACTAATTGTTAAGCAAGTTGCTCAGCTGGAAGGGAAGTTTGGGGGATATACAAAGCTTCATATCTCCTCAGTGGTTAAGGCAGTCAGCAGTTACCTTTGGCCTCTGTGAGCTCAGCATTTTCAGCTATTCATCTTCACTTCCCTAAAGAGATCTATAAACGCTAACAGCACAAACAATATGCTAGAGATTAGCGCAACTCATACAAATACACAGCAACCGACTGGCAGAGTAACGATTTTTCTCTCCTAGAGCAGGGTCTATGACAGGAGAACCCTTCACAGACTTTTGTGTAAATCTTGTCCCTAAAAAGACAGGAGAGATCACTGTCATCCTTGTCAGCACACAAAGTTAACAACAGTCAGGTCACCAACTATTTGTGATGCTGGAAAAAATCACTGGGAACAGCATTCATGTTTCAATTTCTTCCCTGGGACAGACTTGCTCTTCTCAGCAGTTTCCCCTCAAGGAACATTAAAAGAAGGTTGTAGTGAGGTGGGTGCTGGCCTCTTCTCTAAAGTAACAAGTGACAGGACAAGAGGAAATGGCCTCAAGTTGCGCCAGGGGAGGTTAGGCTAGATATTAGAAAAAATTTCTTCACTGACAGAGTGATCAGGCATTGGAACAGGCTGCCTAGGGAAGTGGTGGAGTCACCATCCCCGGAGGTGTTCAAGAAACGTGTAGATGTGGTGCTTAGGGACATGGTCTAGTGAGTTAGGTGGTGTGGGTTGACAGTTGGACTTGATGATCCTTGAGGTCTTTTCCAACCTTAATGATTCTATGATTCTATGATTCTATTATAAACAACTGTCCTATTTTAATGCAAATTCATGTTTTACACGAGATAAGACAGTAATGATAAATCCTTTCCATTTCCTAACACTAGATGAGAAAAACTCCACTCCATAAAGAACCAAAATTGTAATATCAGAGTGTCATTCTTAACGGAGGTGAAATATATTTCCTTATTAGCAGGAACAGAACATCATTTGTTCTTGTAACATGATCTGGTTGTCTGGAAAGAAAAATCCTAGTTAATCATTTTATTTTATTATATTTTTTCCAATGACTAAAATTTACACAAACTAAAATAACTAGGAATTCATCATGGGCTGACAATATTTTCAGATTAATAATGGGAGGTGTCACATCTCCTCTAAATTACTAACTACCTTGGCAGACAGCTAATAAACGCTGCAGCCCTGTGCAGCAGCCTCCTACACATTACGTTGTCCCCCGGGTGTTAAACGATACAAGATGCGCAGATTAGGAAAGTTTCTCATTTGCATAAATTAAGCCCTAGCTCTGCCTTACCTTGTCTCCTTGTCCTTGGGCATTGCAGGTGACCCATAGCCAAAAGCCTGCTTGTCAGCTGGAGATGGCACTGCCTCGGCCATGCCCGGAAGGCCGAGGGTGCTCCGTGCTTTTGCGTCGACGAACACAGGCAGTCCCGGCTCCTTTTTGAAGGACTGGCGGCTGGGGGAAGACCTGTCAGGCTGGATGGTGTGGGGAGGAATGTGAGCGCTATGGTGAGGATGAATATCAATCATTCTCATCTCAGCCACCCTGTGGGGTGAGGCGGGAGGCGTTTTAGAGCTGAGAGTGGGCAAGTGGCTCTCCGGGTACTTTCGTGACTTTTGTCTGTACAAGGATTGCTCCAGCATTTCAGGCGGCATAGAGGGGTTGCAGTAAGTGCTTGATGACCTCATGGCACTGCGATGGTAGGCTACAATGTGATCAGGGACATCGAGAGGGTGTCCGGAGTGGGGTGCAGCCACACTCATCCTCCCCTCATGAAACAAGTATGGGTCACCGTAGAGACCTTCATTTCGGATCAGGGCAAGGTTTTTGTTGCTCATGTCCTCGTCTGGCTTCACGTCCCGTCTCTCCAAAATGGCGCTTGGGCTGGGCGATATCGAGCGTGAGGCTGGCACGCTGGAGAGACGGTCCCTGGGGATGGTGGCATTGCCTGGCATGCCCATGGGCCGGCCCCCGCTGTACGGAATCCTGGACGGAGAGGGAGGCATGGAGTGGGGCACTGGGGTGGAGGGAGGAGAGCTGGGCATCACGTGTGGAGGGTGCGTGGCAGTTCCGGCACAGGAAGCACTTGGGCCATCTCGGCCTGTATAAGCAATTTCCCTCTGCATCTGGAAAGAAAAGGATAAACATAAGAAAATCACTGAATGAGCAAAACATGATGTGGGTTGTGGCAACCTTGACATTTACAGAAAAAAGGGGAAAAAACCCCAAACCCTCAAGACCAAATAATTTGTCATTTGCATAACTAAAACACTTTGGGACCTCAGTGCCCAAAGAAAATAACACCTATAAACAGCAATAAAATGGTCCCCATGTTAAAGAAATATGAGAGTTTTAAAAATGCTTTTACTTACGCAAATACCATCTTACCCTAAGCCGATATTTACAACTACCAGAGCTGAAATCTGGGGTATCAGTGCCAGGTCTTCTAAGTACATGTAGCCAGTGACAGACTTAAATGGTTTATTGATCAGACACACAGGCTAGAGTTCACTGCTTCCAAACCAGGAAGAAAATGCTGATGCTTTGGCATCACAAATAGACCTGAAGTCCTTAGACAAGAACAATAAATATTACAACCAATTGGCCATTTACTTCAGTGCAATTGGCCATTTACTTCAGCGCAGGTCAGTGCAGGATTTAGCCTTTTGCTAATAACTTGATGTGGCCCTTACTACACAAAGGATACACAAAGCATAGGAGAACAACACACACAAACATTTATTGACTGTAACACAGTCAAGTTGCATGAAAACAATTTGACCCTATAAAATGTGCCATGGGTTTGCTTCACATAGTTTGTGGAGCACGCACTCAGCAAGTCAACAAACATTTTATCACAGTTTTGTAACTTGCAGCAGTAACTGCCAGCACTAAGGAACAAGCAAGCAAGGAAAAGAAAGGGTAAACTTCCATACCAATGTGTCAGTGCTTTGTTAACAGAGGCCTTAGCAAAAATCTGCAATGGATACATGTGCTTCTGAGACTGCAATGACCTCTCTAGATGGCCGAACACTGTCAATGACAGACACTGGAGAAATTCTCCCTCTAGCAGGCATCATGTGCCTGCTCTGATGCCATTAGGGTAAGGTGGATAAACAGGTAGATGAAAAAGTCGGCTGGGTTTTACCAACTACATACAAAAAAAATTTACGGCTTCTGAAATTTGTGTTGGCAATTTCAGCTTCCCTTTCTATCACTTCCAAGGGATTGTAGAAAATTGAGCATCACCAAGCCCAAATACATGTTCCTGAAGTTACAGAGCACACACTAACGTGCAGTGGAAGTCGCTGATCTGAAATCTTCACCGTTTTTCTCCCCTCTCACTCCTTGCTTTGGCAACATGACTGGATTCATTGCAGTTATGGTGACCCTATGGCTGAAGAAGCAAGAAATCATATTCTGTTCCCACCCCACCACAGGTTTTTCCACTGGTAAGGGAATTGTGATGGCGGTATATAAACAATAGCTGTTCTCATCACAGCAGGCTCTGCACTTGGGAATTACCAATGACGTTCCCCAGGGCCAGAGATCAAAAGTCTGGAGTATCAGGTATCAGAAAGAAGAAAGGAGATAACCTGATTGTGGCAGCAGCAACAATGAATAAGTGTAAAAGAACAAAGGAGCATGCTGGGATGGGTCATAAACGAGCCAGACAAAAGTCATCAAGCCAAAGGGGAATGTGGGATGATTTTTTCATTTGCACAGAGTATTACTGTAGTCTGGATTTTAAAATAAAATATAACTAAATAGTATTAATAAAATTATCAGTGGGCATTCAACATAGTTTTATATCAGCTTGAAGAAACACTGCAACATACTGAGCTGTATTGTGTGTTCAGACTCTGGACTGGGGCCAGCAGAACAAAAAGACTCCTACTGACTTGAGCAGCTTTGGGATCATGCCTCCGGGGATAGGGAGGCATAGATGTTTTGCACTGAGAGAAGAGGCTGGAGAAAGAAAATCCTCCTTGATTTCTACTGTACAAGCTATACCATGCCCTGTTTAGTTGCTTCAGCTAAAGCTACAACAGACGCAATAGTATCTGGCACAGAAACCATATACAATGGCATATGCTGGGTTGCAGTGAGAGGAAAAAGAAAGTGTTACCTTGTAGAGAGGAGAAAATTTCCATAGGAAGCTTTGAAAGCAACAGGTTTAATTTCCTCTAACTTCTGGACTTCATATTCCTGTATATGCTCATTCATTTCTCATAAGTCAAAGAAATCTGGCAAATAAAAATTTCTATTTTCCCCCTTAACATATTGCCATACTTTAAGATGGAAATGAGGAGTTCAAATATGGGGCTGAGCTATTGCTCAAAACCCTGTGTCTGAGTACTGAGTATATAACATTATTTACTTTTGCTTTAAAATAGCACTTGGAGTGTGCAGCCTGAATCAAGACCCCACTGGGCTGGGCAGGGCACTAACGCCTGGGCAGACAACCCCTTCCTGAAAAGTTCACTTTCTATTTTAAGCCATGACTCAGGCCCCTGGTGGACCATGCAGAAGGGGAAAGCAGTTGGAGCCACAGAGTCCAGGGTGCCCAGGGCAGGTGCACCAGGGCATGAGGGCTGGCCAGACACGAGCTGGTGACCAGGAGCCAGGCGGCCTTACCGGCTGGATTACAGTGTCCTCTGCCACCTGGTCGATATTTTCTCTCCTTCCACTTTTCTCTCTTCTCCAGAATCTCCAGATTCTTTGCTAACAGCAACTTTAAAAATGTGAATTCTTGCTTCTCATCTACACTTTTGTGTCTTTTGTGCAATATTCAAGGCACAGTGCTCTCTCATATATACCCCACTTTCTGTGCTGTTTTTCTTCTGTCCTCCACCACAAAACCCCCATGTTGCTCAATGAAAACACGTACACTAATATGCAAGCTGTCTTGAGCCACATGTTCTTGGACTTCAACTGCATGACTCAGGGACAGAGAAAGAGGATATTGGGCTTATCTGAGTGTCTAAATACTAGCTAATTGCTTTGAGGGCAAAAGGAAGAAGATTTTTTAGTGCAAGCACAGGACCACGTGCTTGTCGACTGCAGCCATGTAGTATGTTTGCCTGAGGGGGTGGTTTTCTTTAGCACATAGCTCTTGTTCTTACTGTGGGTGGACACTACACCCTTGAAATAGAAACTAGTTTTGTCAATCCTTAGGTTAAAACATGGCAAACAGCTAGCAACAATTTTTGTATAAAACATTTGAGGGGAAAAGGCATCACTAAGAATCTTTCACTTTCTGTAGTAAAAAAGATCTCACCACATTTAAACATCTCCTACGGAGGTTTTTGGTCAGTCTAACAGCACTTAAGTCTGTAAAATGCAGATTTCGAATTTTTTTAAAACAGAGCAATAGACACACTGAAGAGTGTCCCTATATACTGAAGAGTGAATGTAATATAAAACGAGTTAATGTTCTTTATTTCAAAACTAGTCGGCATACTCAACAACATGCTGTATTTTGATTATGACTATATGCAGAAAGGTAGCAAACCAGCTGACCATTAAATTGGTGACCTTATAAAGAGTCTTGCTCCTGATAGCTCACACAGAGGGTGAGCAGATCCAGTGTCTCTGCATGCAGCAGAATACAAAGCTTGCTGCAGCTCCTTGCCTCTCAAATAGTATAACTGCCCTGAGAGAAGGACAGAGTCATGGTATCATAAGCCTTATGGATAGCAAAGAGCAAGCTGCTATTCAATCGCTCAACAGCTGGTGATTTCTGCAGTACAATCCAGTCTGTCTTGTTGTCCATCAGGACCAATGTAACACTATGCTGATCTTTATTCTGAATATTGTTGGGGCTGCCTTGTCTCAGGGCAGTCTGTCTCAAGATGGGCATCTCACAGTGAAGAAATTATCCTTACTTCTGTCTTTCCAGCTGCCTCAACACATCATTCACACCTGTGGCACACACCAGACGGGGCACATGGAGCTGTGCCTGCACGCACACCAGGGCAATGCCAGCTAGCATGTAAGCCTGCCACTGATCATCGGCACCACACCAACCCCTCACCTCACCACGCAGCTGGAGGTACAGCCTGACTCACACCACTATCTGCTAACATCTCACAGAAAAACACGGGCAAAGGAAAAAGTAGGCCAGAGTTTCTGACCTGGCAGCCCTTCCCACTGCTCTCCCAGGCCTCATCCACGTCAATAGAGAACACAGCAACTGGCTTTGCCCCAAGGGTTTCAGCCTGCCAAAATACCTACATGGAACGTGTTCCCTAGATGGAGCTTATCCATGCACCTTCTCGGAGACACCCCAGAGTTCCCAGCAGACTCTATTAATCACCTCTCAGGTATGTGAAGCTATTAGTTTTCTTACTCTCCTGTCGACACCCTGTGCTTCCCTGAGGAAACTGCACCTATGCTCTTCAAGCTGGTTCACCCAACAGTAAACAGAAGACACCTGCAAAGAATATTAACAAGAGTCTGGAGAGTCTTTGATGTAAAAGCTACAGAAATGCTAAGTACTGATACAATACTGATAAATTCATCTGTCTGTAAAGAGACCTTTTATGGAAATTGCTCACCAGAAGAAAATCCTCTAAAAAGTGAGGCAACCCTTCACTTTTCTAATCATGAAAGACCTAATTATAGAACCCCATGTCCAAGAATGATACAACCTATTAGTTTGTTCTTTCCTTCTAAAAATAAATTGACAGCTTTACTATACTAGTTGTCCAAAAACCTCAGTTTAATCAGTAGTTGCACCATAGGACACCACTTCTGTCATGACTGATCTTTCATTCAGGTTGAGTTTGAACAGCTGAAAGCACAAATCTGATTTTGCAAAAAAGCCTGTCATATATGATTTTAGTATTTCTAAAATAATATAATTTACAATAAGAAATAGTGCACTTGAAAACTACAGAATTGGTAAACAGTCTGAAAACCATTTTTTAAAGTATCTGTACCATGGCTATCTGTCTGAAAGCCAAATCCTCATGCTATCAGACATCACTGAGAGATTGTCACACTTGTATGTTCTTGCCTTCTCATAGTATGCCTTTTAATCCCTACAAACTTCCCTACTCTACCAGGTTATTACAGTAAAAAAAAAAAAAAACACCAAACCAGGCTGGCTGCAGCTGTGGGT